GAAATGAATAGAAACAAATAGATTATCATAACTAAAATAAAAGATAAATAAATTAAATAAGATAAAACAAAAAAATACAAGTGAAAATAGAAACAATAAAGGTAGTATTCGTCGATGAAAATAATCTAGGAATAAAAGAAATAGTCATTAGTCATAAGAAGAGGAGAAGTAATTCTCTCTTCTTAGAGAGAGAGAGAGAGAGAGAGAGAGTTTTTTTTTTTTTTTTCGAGAGAAAAAAAGGTTGCTGAAGTTGACTATTTTACGAGCAATAATTTAATCACGTGTTTAATGATTTCAATATTTCAGAAAGCTCATGACTCTTTGTTAATTGTTAGGAGTCTCAAGTCCATGGCAGACCTAAAAAGTTTTTCTTCATTGAATTTAAAAATATCGAAAGAACATTGTCAAATAAAATAACAATGAAAGACCGATTAAAAAAACATTCTCAGATAGACTGCATTAGATAAAATTGAAATTCTTAATTTCATGAATTAACACTCTATGATGAATTCACTTACCCTTCCATCAATAATTTTTATATAAATGTGGGTAAGGTTAATAAGCACATATTTAATTATGCCAAGCATCACAACACTTATGCTGCCATTAGAACCTAAAAATAAATCAATCAAAGAATGAAATTAATTGTACATAAATATGGAATTTGAAATTCCAAGATGAATGATTTTCTTTTTACTATCCACGTTGAATTTGAAAGTTTTTTTTTTTTTTTAAATACCTTTGGAACGCAAAAGCATTAATTTAATATATATTTTTAATATTTTTAAATGATTTTGATACGTTAATATTGAAAATATAAAAAAATCATCTGAAAATTTGATTTTTTTAATAAAAAAATATTTTTGCAAAAAATACAAGGACTGCATGACGACACACACTAAATCACCACTTGACCAGGTGTTCGTTGATACGCGGAGCTGAAAATATGGTTACCATGGCATATTCGAGCAAATATTCCCTTTCATGATGCAGCCAGCGTGTGATGCACGCTGTTGTTTCCAATCAAAAATTGAGATATTGACAACGAAAAACATGTTGGCTTCTGCTCTGCTTCGAAAGCGAAAGAGACAAAAAGGGGAAGATTGGTACCCGTCGAGGTAAAGCAGCAAACAAATACCATTCCTCACTTCCCAACATGAATCAATTTTCTGTTACGCTTTTGAAAAAGTTGTTTATGTTTTTCCATAATTTTGTGAGCAAAAAGCAAAATAAATTCAATTTCAAAAAACTGTCTTGGAGTTCGACAATTCAACTAGACAGCACTTTCAATTCCTAAAATATATTGTGAATGGAATAAAGCTTAACATGATTTGATACTATGCCAAATGAGATGATGAATTTGATCAAAAGTTTTTATTAAATATATTTGGATCGAACTCAATAATCCAGTTTAGATTACAGAATAGCCCTGTCTAAAAACAGAGAAACTTAAAACCAGGAATAAAGTAGCGTGTTCCTTTCAGCTGTTATACTTGGAAACATTAATAATTGGAGAAACAAATCTCCACACAGCAACCGAGAACATGGATTTGGAGAGAAGCTTGCTTTCATCGTCCTCTCTTCTTGAACCCACCTTGCTTAATTATGCAGTGCTCTTGTTAATGGGAGTACTGATTTTGCTGCCGTGCTTCGTGTTGTGTAGAACTAAGCTCGTGGGGTGGCGTTTGTTCTTGAGATCATCAGTGATCGTGACTTCTACCTTTTGAATCTGCAAGGGAAGAGCAGTCGTTTTCGGTGCGATGGTGGTGTCTACTTTCACAGATTGCGGACGAGGGTAGAAGAAATCTGTAGGGAAGAAGTTGTATTGAAGGCCAGCCATGGAAATAATTAAGCTTTCAAGAATCAAGAGATGGTTGTTAAGAGTACCGCCAAAGAAAATGAAAAGGCGTCTAGTGAGACTCCCTTTTTCCGTTGAGCGCTTTGTTTTCTTGGTTGAAAGATGGGAGCTTCGCACTTCTTATTTATAGCAATGGAGAAAGGCGTGTTTTTCACTTGGGAGTCAAAAGAGACGTGGGTGCTTTTTATTTATTTTTTACTCTTTGGGTTGCTTCTTGGTGCAGTTTTTAACTATTACAATTTAGATGCTCAGAGCCATTTGGCTTCTCTCATGCCGTGTGTCCTTTTTTTTATTAACAAACCAATACTCCTTCGGGTTTAGAACAATTTTTTTTTCATCTAAATTAAAAAAATTATTGATTATTATGTTATATCAAGTTTATATTTTTTTTAAATTTCATTTATTATTATTATTATTATTATTAATCTAAACTTTCATTAAGAGTATTTTTTAAAAAATATACCATCTGAAATTTTGACTAATTAAATATTTTAAAACATATATAAATAAAAAATAGATAATTTTTTTATGAGTATAAAGTGTTTATTTTTCTTTATATTTAAATTATTTGTCTCTTCGAATAAAATTTTGATATTGATTTCATTAAAAAAAAAAAAGACACTATTAAAGCTGTGATAATGAGTTAATGGTTGCAGAGTTTTTTTAAATCAATAATATTAAATTGCACTGTTACCTCAACAAGACTGTGACATATGTTAATATTGTTTTTTTTTTTTTAATATCGTTTCTCTATACTCTTTTTTAGTAAAAGAATTTTTTCAAAAAAAGATAAAGGTAAAAATATTTTTTTACCCAAAATTTTTTTTAAAATTTATCTATATGATAATAAACAAATTTTGAATATAAAATAAAATATTTATAGTTTTTTTTTTAAATATCAAGAAAATTGTAATTAAATTTTAAAATTTTAAACTGATGTTTATAATTTTTTTAAAATGAAAATAAATAGATTATAATAAACTCTTTCGATTTATTATGAAATTATATAAATACTGTTCATTTTTATGGGTTGAAACTGGTAACTGTACACATGATTTTCTCCCCACCAAAATCGCTCTGGTCAGATGGTGTTTCTAATTTCTCTACTGGACGGGATCTATGTGTTGGGTTTGGGCTTTTATTGTATTTGAGCTTTTCTAGGCCGACTCACCTGGTCAGTCCATGGACTTCTACTGGACCATCTGTGCTTATAAAACGAGTAGTCTGCCAATTTTAATGATGCTTCAGCTTAATTAAACAAGCAAAGGTCAAATTGAGTTTGTTGCTTGTTGATGAACCGTAACTCAACTCCAAGTTATCCTTGGCGAAGATGGAAAATCAAAGCTCAAAACAAAAACATAAAAGTAGATGGAAGTAGATAACTCTATCTGCTGTCTTCTCTCAATTTCAATTCCTTGATAATCAAATTAAGCTACCTCAACATTCCGTTCCAGAAACTACAAGAATTATGAAAGAAAAAGGAAACACTTCAAAATTAATTAGTTATATTAATGACACAGAATAAATGTTTAACCTAAAGAAAAAAATTGGCATAGAGATACAAAGAAAACGATCAGGGTCAATTTGGTGTGTACTTGCAAGAATCCCAGTAATTAGAAGCAATGTTATTCAACTGAATCTCACTCTTGATTATGCATGGGGAGGGGACTCTTGGTGTTGAAGCAGAGAGTTGAGGTAGGTTGCTTTGGTCGTGCTTGTATTCAACTATGGCTTCGTTGTCTCCTTTTCGTGGTTGAATCTGAACAACTGGGCTGCTGCTAATTACACTTTCTTTATTGACTGATGGTGGACGAGGATAGAAGAAATCTGTAGGAAAGAAGTAATATTGAAGGCCAGCCATGAAAACTCCAAATTTAGAACCTGCAATAATATTGATAATTAAGTTTGAACTTTTATTACTATTTTATTGTGTGTAATAGCTCGTGCTCTTTATGTGTATTTATATGGTGGAAAAGAACAGCTTCTAAGTTGGCTTGGGCCTCAAGTCCTTTGTCTTACGCGGAGAGGTAATTGTTTTCTGAGGCAAGGCTTCGGATTTTTATTGTTAATTTGACACTTTTTTTGACTTTTGGGAAAACTAGAAGTAGAAGCTTCTTTCTTGGGCAGAACTTCATTGATTTCTTTCTTAATTTTTCCTTGAGATTTAATCTTCTTTTTAACAATTCAAATATATATATATATATATATATATAACTTCAGTTGACGAGTTTATACTCATTTGAAAATAATTTTATTATCAAATAAAATAATAATAACAAATAATTGAGCATAACCCATTATTAGAAACGAGGTCCTCTAGCTTATATATATATTTTTTAAAAAAAACCCCAATCTTAGTCAAATTAGACAATAAAATCAATATAACGACAATATTGGTTAGATTTTTTTTTTTTTCAATTTATATAGAATGGTTGTTGAGGGATACATATGGATCGGTAAGTTATCTCTACTTAATTAGGGATGATAATAGACTACATTAATTCTTATTATTTTATTTTTTCTAATTATTTATCACAAATCAAATTGTATATGAATTCTTATCAAGATAATTTATGTCAAATTAGATTTATTATTATTAAAGCGATGTTCAATCTATGTATGATAATAGAAATTATAATGTGTGTAGTAAAATTTGAAATTTTTTTTTTCTAGTAGGAATTATTTAGTGTGCTTGAATTGTGATAATTTCTCTTGTAAAACGGTGACTCATGGTGGTGGACAATTTTTATGACAGATTTCATGTTTATACGAGAAGGAAGAGTTTGTGTAATGGTTTTTCTTTTTGGACAGATCAAGACCTGTATCTGCTAGGCTGGGTTGGGCTGGGCCAATTTGGATCCTTAGCTTGAGTCCAACTTCAACTGAACAGAGCTTAATAAAATTGTGGGCCAGTTTGTTGCAAAGACCAAGTGAGCCTACCCAACATCATAAACATCAACTGCATCCCTAGCCCATCTCCATTTTCTCTATCCCCTTCATCTCAAAACCCCAAAAACCCTAACCCTATAAATTCGCATTTCCATCTCTAAACCCTTCTGCTTCACTAGCCTCCGTCGAAACCCTAAGAAACAAAACCCTAGAAACCAGAAACCCAGTCACCGCCTCACTCCCAGTCACCACCATGTCTGAAGTCGAGCTTTCTCGTTCTGAAAAGAAAAAACACAAGAAAAAAACCCAAGAAACCGAAACAGACACAAACCCAACAGACACGGACAAAGATTTCATGATCAAACCTCAAAACTTCACCCCAACAATCGACACTTCACAGTGGCCAATCCTTTTGAAAAACTATGACAGACTCAATGTAAGAACTGGACACTACACTCCACTTCCGTCCGGTCACTCTCCTCTCAAGCGTCCACTTGCTGATTACATCAGGTACGGTATTATGAATCTTGATAAACCAGCAAACCCTTCATCACATGAAGTTGTTGCTTGGATTAAGAGGATTTTACGTGTCGAAAAAACTGGTCATAGTGGTACTTTAGACCCTAAAGTTACTGGTAATTTGATTGTTTGCATTGATAGAGCTACTAGACTTGTTAAATCTCAACAAGGTGCTGGAAAAGAGTATGTTTGTATTGCTAGGTTGCATGATAAGGTCCCTGATGTTGCTAAAGTAGCGAGAGCGTTAGAGACGCTTACGGGGGCAGTTTTTCAGAGGCCTCCCCTGATTTCTGCTGTTAAAAGACAGCTTAGAATTAGGACAATTTATGAGAGTAAGTTGTTGGAGTATGATGCAGATAAGCATTTGGTTGTTTTTGGATTTCGTGTGAGGCGGGGACTTATGTTAGGACTATGTGTGTGCATTTGGGGTTGATTCTTGGTGTTGGTGGGCATATGCAAGAATTGAGGAGGGTGAGGTCGGGGATTTTAGGGGAGAAAGATAACATGGTTACTATGCATGATGTTATGGATGCTCAATGGGTTTATGATAATTATCGTGATGAGAGTTATTTAAGGAGGGTTATTATGCCTCTTGAAGTGCTTTTGACTAGCTATAAGAGGTTGGTTGTGAAGGATTCAGCTGTGAATGCCATTTGTTATGGTGCTAAGTTAATGATTCCAGGGCTGTTGAGGTTTGAGAATGATATTGAGGCTGGTGAGGAAGTTGTATTGATGACTACTAAGGGTGAGGCTATTGCTTTGGGAATTGCAGAGATGACAACTGCTGTTATGGCTACTTGTGATCATGGTGTTGTTGCAAAGATTAAGAGGGTTGTGATGGATAGGGATACTTATCCGAGGAAATGGGGGTTGGGGCCGAAGGCTTCTATGAAGAAGAAGTTGATTTCTGAGGGGAAGTTAGATAAGCATGGGAAGCCAAACGAGAATACTCCAAATGAATGGATGAGAAATTTGGTTTTGCCCACTGGCGGAGATTCTATGGTTGCTGGCCTAGCTGCTGCTGCTGCTGCTGAACCAGTTGTGAAGGAGATTGGTGAAGAGGAGAAGAAGAAAAAGAGTAAGGATGGTGAAGATGGTGAGGGGCGAAAGCGCAAATTGGATGAAAGCTCTGATAGCCCTGCTGCCCAGGTTCTTGCCAAAAAAGCTAAAACTGTTGAAATTGAAGAGAGTGTCAAGAAGGTGAAGGAAGAGCCTGCGGAGGGAAGTGACGTTGAGAAAAAAGAGAAAAAGAAGAAGAAAAAGAAGAGTAAAGAGGATGGTGAGGCTGAAAAGGGAGAGACAGTGGAGGAAAGTGAAGATGAGAAGAAAGAGAAGAAGAAGAAGAAAAAGAAGAGTAAAGATGATGGCGAAGCAGAAAATTTAGAAGAAAAGGAGACTGAGAAGTCTGAGAAGAAGAAAAAGAAGAAGAAAGACAAAGAGGCTGAAGAGGCTGCCACCATTGATAATGGCAAAGCTGATGGTGAGGCTGATAAAAGTGAGAAGAAGAAGAAGAAGAAAAAGAAGGAAAAAGATGGAGAAGAAGATTAGACAAGAAAGTTCGTAACATTTTGTTTTGAGGTAGTAATTCCTAAATGCCTGCTTCTTTGTTAACCTTATGGCATCTTCAGTACTGTTATTAGTTTTTGTAATGTTTCGATGTAAGTTTAAGCAGAAGCAATTTCCAAAATTGAGATCTGCTTTTAGAATGGTTTATTTGGCTATAACAATTTTGCTTTATTCTCCACCATATGTTTAATAACTCGTCGTTTTTCTCCTTGGCAATTCATGAATTTTTTTTAATAAATTTTGTCGCTGCATGTTTTCTTATGAAACTTATAGTAATCTTTTTTTTTTTTTTTGTATGTAACGTGCGGCTTTTTTCATGTTTTCCATGCTGTAATCTTTGGTAGCTTATGAATATGGGGATTTATGTGAGAAGGCTGTTTCATGGAGTAAGGGGGATGATTGGTTCAAATTTGATATGATACTGGCACAGAGATGCATGTTATTCTTTAGATCATCATTCTCTTTTTGTTTCTTTTTGCTGGATGAATGTTTTTAGGGCATGATGTTGAGGAAGCTCTACAGGAGATTTGCAGATGCAGCAAGGGTCGGAGCTTGTTCACCTTGCATGCCCTGGCTGGATTGCAAGTTCATCTATTCGAAAAAGAAAGGCCGATTTCTGTAGATAGCTTCAGTTTTGGAGTTTCCTTCAAACCGTTTCATGGTTCATGACGGTTGCATCTTACAAAGATCTGTCAGTTTGTGTAATGTGTCGTTCTGTGGTTTAGTTTAAGCAACTTCCTTAGTCTGGTTGTTTTTAGCTTTAAATGGATGTTTCACCATCCAAGTCAACTAATTGCTGGCGAAGGCATGCTCTCCTGGTTCGAGCCACTGATTTCTAGTTACTATTATTCTCTTTTCTTTTTTTTTCGAGATCTGGATTTGTGGAATTTCTCTCTTTCTAACTTGAAGGCTTGAATTGCGACCTGATCGATCCATTTCTTTCCCTGTGACTCCATCAAATTCGGCAGAAAGAGCTTTCTTAAGCCACCCACTAGACGCTTTCTTAAGTCTTTTATCTGTCAGCCAGTACAATTTTATACAGTTGAAACTTGAACATGTGAAATATATGAATGAAACCCAAATGCTTGTGTCCTGCGATAACGGGGATCAGGAGCACCAGGGTCCTGTTAGTTTTACTTGGCAACGAGGGGTTGTTTGGCCATGCTTTTTTGGTTAGCTCGCAACCATTTTTGCACAAGTATGGTAGCCAAACCATTGTGTAAATGATTGGATGAAAATAATAGAAAATTCGTTTATAGAAAGGGTTTACACAGTAGAATAATCACTCCACAACAGTCAACAGTCAATCAATTTGGGTGTCTATACAATAAAATTAAGTTCGAAACACAGAAATGCAGAGAGTGGTGTTAGGTTGTATGAACTCGACGGGCACCCTTACCGTAAATGAATCCGTTTGTTGACAAACCGGTTCTTTTCAACCAGTTCCGGTCTTCATGGTAAAAACAGGAAACCCACCAACCATCAAAACTAGCAGTTTCCATTCCTTGGCTGCTTTGCTCTTTCCTGATGATTTCAGTGTTTTACTTTACATTTACTTTTCTTTGCTACTGCTTGACAGACCTCATCTTGCCATTAAAACATAAAAAAAAAAAAAAATCCCAAATTTTCATTCAATAACACATGATATGTTCAAAATTCGGTATTTCTATGCTTTTATTCTTGACTTCAATAGCACAGCAAACAAGATACATCAGCACTTGGTAACAAAACTCTTATTCAGTCTCCACAACAAACAACATTTGTATATTAATAAGGTTTTAGAATTACACAAATGATAGCAGTCTATGCACCTTTACTATCTATTCGTCACTGCTTTCATCTATTGGTAAAATGCTATCCACTGAGGTTTCTCCTGTGTGATGATTTAACCTTGTCACTATACCTGCATATTTTTCAAACACTGAGTTGTAAATTCTTTGTGACTTCGAAATTTTTTTCAATAAAAGAAATCATGTGTGTGTACGACTTTTATGGCTCTGAGCTGATAACAGAAAGGAAACTCTAGGGCTGTGTTCTCACCGTATAGAATAACGCAAAGGGCTGCTTTATCATGTATATCACCAGTCCACTTTCAACTTCCAATAGGAGTGACTGCTTCAAAGGCTTCTATAAGCAATGACACTTTTCTTTTCCGAGCCGGAGTCAGTTTAGCAACAACCTGTTGAAGTGCATAATCAAGCATCCATTCATCAGCATTTTTCCTGTCATCTGTGTCTTGGTGCCTTAGATCAACCTTTTCACCACTTGCGGGGTCCAAGGGCAGAAATCGTGGCTCCCGTGGATTGAATCTTTTCACCTTTTCCAATGCCTTAACGAATCTCTTGAGGAGGATCACCTTTTTCAGATTGCTCCAGTTCTTTTGCATAGCCGGCTTTGGTTTGTTTCCTGCTGTCAGTGTTGCTTTTGCCTTTCCTTGTGCACTGATGTTATCAGAATTGAGCTGCCGTTCTTGTTGATTCAGTGTGGTGCTCTCCTCTACTTTTGTGCTGCTGGATTCTCCAAAGCTCTCGTTTTTGCGTTCAAAGGAAGATGATATGAAAGGTTCCCCTCCTTCTCCAGGTTTGTTTTCAATAATGCGCTCCTGGTCTGGATCTTGAATTATGTCACTGGCAACTGATTGATCATCTTCTTGAAATTCTGGAAGAGGGATTTGATCAATTGCTTCTTCCACCAGCCTTATGGCTTCAATCTGCTGGTGTTTGATCTTTTGATTGTCTGCGACATCATTCTCCAATGTGTTTCCATCACCCCCTTGTTCTTTCTTACCTTTACCTGCTTCCTCAAGTAGTGTCGCATTACCTGATACCATGTGCTTATATATCAAGAACCAGAACTTCCTATGTTTCTGCTTTTCATGTGCTACATCAGTTGTGCAACCTGGTTCTGATTCGCCAAGCAGGTTGGACCCTTGGAGGAATTTATTCTCAAGCTTATTTTCTTCTCCAGCAACTTCAGATGATTCCTCTAGTGGTGCAGAAACTGAAGATGAAGAAACCACATTGGTACTTTCAATGGAACGCTCATGATCTTTTGGGGTTTGGCTTTTGGGTTCATCTAATTCGTCACAAGTTCTGTCTTTTTGGTTATTGATGTCTGACTTTTGGCAGCTTAATCCAAAAGCACAATCATATACCTCTGAGGCAGAAACTCCCCTTGCTTCTTTGGCGTCCTCTTGGAGAATTTTCCCATTTATCACTAGTTCCTCATTAGAAGTTTGTAGAATATCAGCTGACTTTGGCAATGGCTTGTCAAATAATTTAGAATCTGCATCCTCCACCAAACAGCGGTTGACGAAATTGGATTCATCGTCTTTGAGAATGGAATTAGTTTCAACATTACCAAGATTGAGAGCAACAAATTCGTTCTTCAAGTCCGCAGCAGTGTTCTCTGTAGACGAATTACTCGATGCTGTATGAATGCAACCATTTTCGGCTTTCGTTTCTTTCAGCTCAGGACAAGAACCTCGGATGTGGTTTTTCACTTTGTAGAAGCCACTGGCTTGGTCTTGATTCTGTTTGAAGCTTGTTTCAAGGCTTGATGTCTTACGAAGAGTGATTCCGAAAATAGTTTCTCTTTCTTTGCTGGATCCGTTGCCTTCAGAGGCATCAGTGCTGGTTTTAAGTAGACTTGTATGAGAAGAAGCTTCTATATTGGAACTTGGCGAAGTACCAACTTCTGTGAGTGGGGTGACGGTCTCAAATGCTTGTACAATCAGAGCTACCTTTCTCTTTTGAACTGGGGCTAATGTAGAAATAACCTGTTGAAGTGCATGATCAAGCATCCATTCCTCTGAATTTTTTCTCTCCCCCATGGTTTGACGACGCAGATGAACTTTTTCTGCAACTGGGTCAGCCTCTACATGTAGATACCGTGGTTTCCGTGGATTGATGTTCCTCACCTTTTCCAATGCCTTGACGAATCTCTTGAGAATAAGTATCTTTTTCAGATTACTCCAGCTTTTGGGCGTTTGCTGGTTAGACTTGCTTTCCATCCTAGATTGCGCTTTCTCTCTTTCAAAGGCATCATCAACTTCATGCTTCAATTCTTCTGGTTCCTGCACAATGCTGTCTCCACCTGAACCGTAGGAAGTTGAGATGCTTAATTGTCCATCCTCACCATGATCCCTTACTGCAAGCTCCTTGTCTGAAGTTGTGTCACTATTAATTGATTGATCATCCGATGACTGGTCTGGAATTTCTGAGAGTATTCTATCGAATGCTTCTTGAACCAACTTGATGGCATCACATTTGTATTGCTGAATTTTCCGGTTGCATTCATCCTGATCTTCCTCACCAATGCTTTGATCTGTACTAGAAAAATCCTGAAAAGTACCAGATTTGTTCATGCCAGGCAATATGTTCTCATCTTCCTTGGTTGCTTTATTAAGAGGTGACTGGATTCCATCTTCTGCAGCAACACCAGATGCCATATGCTGATATATTAGGTTCCACAATCCCATATGCTTCTGTTTTTCCCTTTGAGCTTTGTGGCCTATATCCACTGTATAATCACACTCAGAATCTGCGCTTGGGAACTGATGACCTTGAGCAGCATCTTGGTTCTTTTCTTCACTGGCCGCCATTTCCTCTTGCGATGGCTTACCAATGGAAGCAGAAGAGATCATATTGGTGATTGCTCTGGACTCCACAAATCTATTCAGGTTTAGGATTCTGGATTTATTGAGTCGTTCATCAGCTACGCTTGTTGAAGCATTTGGCTTTGCAGTGTTTAAATGTGAATCACCTTTGTACACATCCAAGTTCAAACTTGCAATTCTACCTTCATCAGCTTCTGGAAGTGTTTGAATCTCAGTGGCACTTGTAACATTACTGGAATCTTTGTCATCTCCACCGTGACCTGCTTCTTTCTCTGACTCCGCTCTAGGTCCATCTGTTCTGCCAGTGGAAGAAGAGACAGCTATCTTGTTATGGGCTGTTTCTAGAACTGCTGAGTCTCCACAAGAAGTCAATTGACTTGTCTGAGTTCCCTTCTTTGCATTACTAGAACGTTTCGCTCTTCGAGAGGGTTGACTTTCTGATTTCATGCTTTTTTGGGTCTTTAACAAACGTCGCCTCATTGATACAAAGCGTTTAAGTGGAGGCACAGCAGAATGGCGACGGCCGTGAAGTGAGCAATAACTATATGGACAAACCTTCATGGCCGAATTTCCTTCAGATTCACTTCGTCCCGGTTGCAGCTCAAGATGATTTGGAAACTTGGAGTCCTTGATGGCCGAAGAACATGTGGCTTTCTGTAAGCCTGCGTCTGGAATTTGAGAACACTTCTTCGTGGAAGGCCTCTTTGTTCTTATGCTTGCCACTTTTGTTAAGAACCTTACAGGTCTCAATGTGGAAGTTCTTGTCTTGACTCTCATAGAGTTGTTACCAGAAGAAGCCAAATTCTGCTTTGAATTACTTGATTTTTTCCTATCCTCATTGTTGCTATTCAAAGTAGATTCAAAATGGAGACTTGCCTGAAATTGAACATTCCTCCCATCAGAACAGTTTTTTGCCTTCAAATAATCCACTGATGTATCCGCATCGCTAGCTAAAACAATGGAAGATCGGTTGGCAAGCTTGATTGATCTTGACTTCTTCAGTTTTTTCTTCAGGTCACTTCCACCAGAAGATTTCCTCATCATAGGTCTCCTGAATTTTGTACTAGACAACCTTGTCAAACTCTTTGAAGGCTTAAAACTAGATCGCCGTGCCAAAGTTCTTGCCGATTTCTGCATGGGAAAGGCAATAATTTGGCTTGTGATACTCAATATTTCCATCAAGACAGCCACCAAAACTAGTTAAAAAAAAAAAAATATGGAACTTGCCTGCAAATTCTCTTTCTTTGCTTTTGAAGAAGTGGTGGTCCTCATATAATTTGGTGCCACTCCTGAATGCTGTGAGCTTGCTGCATCACTGAAGGGGACAGAAACTTCATCAGATTGGATTTTAGCTTGTCTTGTGATGAGTTTCAAGCTCGGCAATCTCGCAAGCTTGATTGATCTTAGCTTCTTTACTTTCCTCTTCGGCTCCCTTCCCCCTCACGGGCAATGTCTTCATTCTGATAACACGAGGATGAGGATGATGATGATGATGATTCACTGCTCATAGATGAACTTTCAGACGAGGAGGAATAATCAGAATCAACTCCTGTTCCAAGCTTGGAAGGCATCATCTTGAAAATCTCAAAAAAAAAAAAAAAAAAAAAAAAAGAAGAAGGAAGAATTTGGTTCTTTGAAAAAAAGAAAGGAATTACAAGAGAGCCTTTTCTTTTATTTTCAGTTGGACAACACAAGTTTTTGGAGGAATTGCAAGGTGCCACCCGGGAAATAAGTTGGTACAAGGGAAGATATGGGATCAGTAGAAGAAATCATGGATTCGAAAGTTGTGCTATGGCTGTCAGCTATTTGGTTGGCCTTCTCTTCTTGACTTCATTTTTAAAATTTCACTGTTAATTAAGAAGGATGCGAAGTTTGAATGAGGTTTTTAGATGTGCTTTGACTTGTATTAACTATGGACTTTGCCTTTCTTTAAATTGACCGATTCTTCCTTCTGGGGATGGTCATGGTAGGATTCATAGTTTTGGCACCATTTCTTGTAGACTTGACATGCAAATACAATATAAAATCCCAATCAGATAATTGGTGACTTTTGGATGTCTCCTTCGGCTTTTAAGCTGTAAAATTAATCTGGTGGACCCTAAATATGCAAAGCGCAAACCGCTTCCACATACTAGCCAAAGATTGGCTTTCCTGAATCATGACAGGCACAACTGCAAGCAAATCATCGTTTGATGGTTTGGGCCTTCTTATTATATCTAAGAGTAACAGCAAATCATCATTTAAGGACTGACCTGGAAAAATTTAGATACTGATTCCACAAATTTTCACAATCATTTAAATGGCTGGTTTTGTCAAACAAGAGGAAAGACTCGAAGACACTGTCAGTTTCAAGATTTATGGGTGCGTTTTCTTTGTATTGTAAGCTGTCAAGTAATCGATATCGTAAAGATGATCACATGGTAGTATAGATTTGCTTATGATCTTGGATTTTGATTCCTAGCTGAGGATTTGGAAAAGAAATATATAGTAGATATATCTAAAAATTAGTCCAAAGATATTTCTAATTGTTAAAAACAATAAATTCACTGTTTATATCTTTTTTTTTTTTTTTATTTGGCAATAAAAAACATGATCAAACCAGCCTGGTACATTGCTTAATTATCAATTACATTAAAGGAAAAAAAAATATTAAGATGGTTGAGAGTTGAGGTTCGGCCAAAAAGAGGAGAGTGTGAGACGGGGGACATGAAACCGCGTTGCACATTCCTAAGTGGGCCCGTCCAGAGTCTCTGAACATGGGACCAATTATAAGTCCAACCGCAATTGTCGGAGATCAGACGGTGTGTTGTTTGTGGGCCTTAAATTAGATCCACTCTTCCTCAGCTGTAGGTCAACTGAGTGCAGCTTCCAGTCGTTGATTTAAGGTTGCAAGTGGTTTGCTTTTCATGTTAGAATTTAGGACCTATTAGTTAGTTTCTTAACAGCGTGGGTCGGGCAAAACATATAAAAAAATTTAAAAAATCTTTTTAATTTGATGATTCGTGTTAATTTTTAATAATTATGTACTAGATCATTAGGTATACGCCCTTTTCTTTTATTTACTTAAGAACTAATATGACCTAAGTACTGTGAAAGATTGATTGTAAGAGTTCAGATATGCCTTATGATATATATATATATATATATTGATAGTAATATAACAAAAGTTGTGTTTACTTTTAGAAGTCAATAAGATTATATTCACAGTGTGGTCCTGTTTGTATAGCCACCAACTATGGGGGGATCAAAGAATTAAACTAATGTATTTATGTCTTTGATTTGATCCTTTTTTTGGAAATCCAGAAAAATAGGTTTTCGATCAGCTCCTTCCATAATTAAGTCAATATTTTTATTGATTTTTATGTGTGTACTATTTATTTTATTTTACGTAAATCATTTTATATCTCAGTCTATTTTATTTTTGTATCTCAAATATGCCTATAGCACTGTCTCTAGATATGATTATTATTATTATTATGGATTTTTGTCTCTAGAGTTGAAAAGTCCATGATTTTAAACTCCATTATAAATGTGCAAGGAGATTAATTCCAAATGATGTGCGGCATCCCACAGGCCCATTTGGATCAGGAAAACTTAACCAAAATTGCAATTGATTAAAATATCCTAGCCCAATAGAATGAAGAACCTATTTTTTTTAAAAAAAATGGATTAAAGATGGATCAAGTAGAATCCAATCTGTGATTGCAAAACAGAGGTTCTCAATCCAGGGCATCATCATGCCCAATAAGATAACACGGCCTATGGTATCCGTTGTCTACATCTTTTTCTTAAAAAAGAAGAAGAAGAAGAAGAAAATATATGCCTTGAAAATAAATTTCTATCCTTTAGTTCTTTAAGCGTGTTTTTTTAAAAAAAAATTTTAGTAAAACACATTTCGGCCAAATTTTTTTCATGGCTGAAAATTTTAATTGGAATCATAAATTGAATATTTTATTTTATTTTTTTCAGAAATTGATGTTAAGTAATTAAAAATTTTAAAAATTCAGGAACAAGTGATAGATTTGAAATATTATATATAAATAGATAAATATATTTATCCTAATATATATACTCAATGTTTTCTTTAGAAGACAGTCTTCGAAAAGATGGGACGATTAATTAATGCAAGTTAACAACAGTAATTAAGATATATATATATATATCTTAAGAAGCTGTCTCAATATCTTTAAGTAAGTATTAAATTTTATGCATGGTTTTTTACTATTTTTATTAATAATATATGGTTCTATTAACTAAAAAAAAAAAAAAAAATCCAAATCACGTACATTATCTTGAAATCACAATATATTTGCAAGGAATTCTAAATTTTCAACAGAAAAATCTTTAGGAAGGTTTATACATAATATAAAATCTTGATCCCCTTGACCATTTTATTAATTATGTATAAAAACATGCAATTGATCCTTTAAATTATCAAAAATCATATTAGATTTCATTATATTATCCATCTCCGTCAAAAATCAACATTAAGATTTAAATTTGATGTTTAGAAACATATTGCACTTTTGCTACTTTCTTGAAAAACAACTTTTATTAATCATCATCACTTTCACGATAAATGTCAATTGTCATACATTAAATATTGCAAAATTCAAATTCGATTTTTGTTTTTCAATCTAAAAAATGTGTATTATGGGCATCTAAAATTATACATATATATATGAGAAATAAAATATTTCATTTTATTATTCAAATGAGATTATTTGATACTCTTTTATATAAATATTGCTTGCATCCAGATCACATCATTATTTATATATATAAACAGGCTCTCATTGTATCTATGCGGTAAACGAGCTTTAAAATATTTCTAAAAATATTTACAATCTCATGTAAAAACACGATATGATAAGTGAAATTCTAGTTCTTAAATTCATTGGCCAATACTCTTATTTTTAAAATTATATTTATAAAACTGAAAAAAAAAAAAAACTCATGTGATCATTATCACTCCCACATGGAATAAATTGTAAATTAGTCCCTTTATCTTAAATAAATGAATTAATTATTTTTAAAAACCAATAATTTAATTTTTTTTATTAATATTGATCACGTTCAATTTAATATTTCGTTATTTCAAAAAATATTTTTTTCTTATCAATCTTTTCATAATATCTATTAATTTTTTTAAATAAAAAATAAATTAAAAAATATAAAATAATCAAATAGCTAAATAATTAGTTTTTAAAATAAAAAAAACTAATCAATTTATTTTTCAAAAAAAAAAATTATAATTTACCCCCACGTGCAATGCTTCCCTTTCTTTCTTAATACATCCAAGCAAGTCAGCAACAACAGGTACACTGTAAAAAACAAAAAAGTGCAAACCTCGAAAGTAACATTCAACTTTATAAGTAGTTTCAAGGTTACTATCAAATAATTCTCAGTATAAATTTTCCCATCAAATTTTTTCAGAAAATTTCAATTGAAGACTTCCATTTATTTTTAACACTTTATATATATATATATATATATATATATTTCAATCCAAATTACATTGTTTTCTTTTATAAGAAACAACATCGTTTTGCAGAGAAGTTGACATTTTTTAAGTGATTCTAACATAAGTTTTTAATTAAGAAATCAAAATAGTTTAGTGATAAAATTGATTCAAAAAATAGTTTGAATATGAAATTAATAATATCTTTATAGTTTGATGGTATATTTGATGTTTGCTCACAAAAGGAAAATTTGCTGCCTCTACACTATTTGTCGATATATTTAATGTTTGCCAAATTGTTTCATCTCCACATGTTTGGTGATGTATTTGATATTTGTCAATTTATTTCAATCTTATTTAGTGTTACTTTTTATTTTTGTTTGAAAAAAAAAATTGTTTCTTCTACACAATCGTACTTTATGATATATTTGATATTTGTCAAATTAGTTTATCTATAGTATGTTTGATGTTTGTCTTAAAAAATAAAATTGTTTCATCTAAACCTCATATTTGATGATATGTTTGATATTTGTCAATTTGTTTCAACCTCTTTTAGTGTTATTTTTTATTTTTTCTTAAAAAAGAAATTTGTTTCATCTACACAATCGTATTTTATGATATATTTGATATTTGACAAATTAGTTTATCTATAGTATGTTTGATATTTGTCTTAAAAAAAAAAATTGTTTCATATACACCTCATGTTTTGTAATATATTTGATGTTTGCCAAATTCTTTTAACTACACCTCATGTTTGGTTATATATTTGATGTTTGTCAATTTATTTCAAATTTATTTAGTGTTACTTTTTATTTTGACTTAAAAAAGGAAAATTTGTTTATTCTGTACAATCCTATTTTATGATATATTTGATATTTGACAAATTGTTTTATTTGATGTTTGCTCATAAAAAGAAATTTTGTTGCCTCTACACTATTTGATGGTATATTTGATGTTTGCCAAATTGTTTCATCTACATCTTATGTTTGGTGATATATTTGATGTTTGTCAATTTATTTCAACCTTATTTAATGTTACTTTTTGTTTTTGCTTAGAAAAAGAAAAATTGTTTTGTCCACGCAATTGTATTTTATGATATATTTGATATTTGACAAATTAGTTTATCTATAGTATGCTTGATGTTTGTCTTAAAAAAAATAAAATTGTTTCATCTACACCTCATATTTGATGATATATTTTAATATTTGTCAATTTGTTTCAACCTTATTTAGTGTTATTTTTGCTTAAAAAAGAAAATTTGTTTCATCCACACAATCGTATTTTACCAAATATTTGATATTTGACAAATTAGTTTATCTATAGTATGCTTGATGTTTGTCTTAAAATGAAAAAATTTCATATACACCTCATGTTTAATAATATATTTAAAGTTTACCAAATTCTTTCATCTACACCTCATATTTGGTTATATATTTGATGTTTGTCTGTTTATTTTAATCTTATTTAGTGTTATTTTTTGTTTTTACTTAAAAAAAATTTGTTTCTTCTACACAACCGGTTGCTTTTGGAATCCAAAACAAGTAACATAAATAAATAAATAAAAAGAAAATAAAGGATACAATACCAAATCTTTTAAAAAATATTTACGGGCGTAAGACTGCAATTGAGATTAAACAAACATTTCTTAGTCTTTCTATCGAGTCGTTGTCTCTATAGTCTTTCTTTCCTTATCTGCCTTTGATCACAAAATCCACATGGCCATGTCAGAGCCATCTCCCCCTCTTTACTCACTCTTAACGTAACCATATCTATATCGATATCTTTATCATTTTTTCCACGTTTCCCAATATTTCCCATGACTCCAAGTCTCCGATCCTGTATTTATTTAAACCCTCTCTCTTTCATTCTTAAAACGATATTAGTAAAGTCTCCATCTCTGGTTCTCTGTTTGTCTAAAGTTTGTACATTCTTCACTTTCTTGGGTTTTCTTGGTTTTTGGGGTTTTTTTTTTTTAAGTGGATATTACAATTTATTGGGTGGTGATATTGAGACTCTTTTGTTAGTTTTGTATTTTGATTCTTGAGGTCGATGTTGTTGATTTTTTTTTTTTTTTTTTAGGGTTTGGTTATTGAAAACCCGTTTGGGTAGGTTGGCTGGTGGGAACCTGGATTTTTAAGATTGTGTTTTTCTTGTTGAGCCTGCACAGGATAAAAAAGGTTGGGTTTTTTTTTTTTTTTTTACTCTAGATATTCATATTTTATGATAGCCAGTCCTTTTACTTTAAGATTGTATCTCTTTATTGTATTTCATTTTCTCTCTACATATCGCTATCCAATCTGAGGAGAGACAAATTCAATTCTCTATTGTCCCTGCCATTCTCATTAGAATCAACTCTGGCCATATAATTCCTTCACAATCGTGAAATTTGATTCCTTGATGACCCGTTTCAGCTAATTTTGTTCTTAGATTTGAATTTTGACAAAAGAAGGCTCCCAATTATAGACCCTTTTTTTTTTTTTTTGGGTTTTAGCCTATACATGGATGTAAGCAATGAGGCCAATGTTGATCCTTTCAAAATTGGACCTTCATCGATCATTGGCCGGACAATTGCTTTCAGAGTTCTGTTCTGTAAATCAATCTCACATTTGAGGCATACAATCTTTCATGTGTTGTTGAATTACATTCATAGATTTGGTGACTTTGTGGCGCCTATGTTATCATGGTTTCATCCAAGGAATCCACAAGGGATATTGGCCATGATGACAATAATTGCATTTTTATTGAAAAGATACACGAATGTTAAATTGAAGGCCGAAACAGCGTATAGGAGGAAATTTTGGAGGAATATGATGAGAACTGCGTTGACATTTGAGGAGTGGTCTCATGCTGCTAAGATGCTTGATAAAGAGACCCCAAAGATGCACGAATGTAATCTTTATGATGAAGAACTAGTCAGGAACAAGCTTCAAGAGCTCCGCCACCGTCGCCAGGAGGGAAGTCTTAGAGATATAATCTTTTGTATGAGAGCTGATCTTGTAAGAAATCTCGGTAATATGTGCAACCCCGAGCTTCACAAGGGTAGGCTTCAAGTGCCTAAGCTCATAAAAGAATATATTGATGAGGTCTCAACTCAGTTAAGAATGGTTTGTGACTCCGATTCTGAGGAGCTTTCATTGGAAGAAAAGCTTGCTTTCATGCATGAAACAAGACATGCATTCGGGAGAACAGCATTGCTTCTGAGTGGAGGTGCTTCTCTTGGAGCCTTTCATGTCGGTGTGGTTAAAACACTGGTGGAGCATAAGCTTATGCCCCGAATAATTGCTGGTTCTAGTGTGGGGTCAATCATGTGTTCAGTTGTTGCCACCAGATCGTGGCCAGAGCTGCAGCGGTTTTTTGAGGATTCCTGGCACTCTTTGCAGTTTTTTGACCAGTTGGGTGGGATTTTCGCAGTTGTGAGGAGGGTCATGAGACAAGGGGCTGTTCACGAAATCCGGCAGTTGCAATGGATGTTAAGGCATCTTACGAGTAATCTTACATTTCAAGAAGCTTATGACATGACAGGTCGAATTCTTGGGATCACAGTTTGCTCATCTAGGAAGCATGAGCCCCCTAGATGCCTTAACTACCTGACTTCCCCTCATGTTGTTATATGGAGTGCAGTCACTGCTTCTTGCGCCTTTCCGGGCCTCTTCGAAGCCCAGGAACTAATGGCAAAGGACAGGAGTGGGGAAATTGTGCCTTATCACCCACCCTTTAATCTGGAACCTGAGGAGGGATCAGGTGCACCTACGCGTAGGTGGAGGGATGGTAGCCTGGAGATTGATTTACCAATGATACAACTGAAGGAACTATTCAATGTCAATCATTTTATAGTTAGTCAGGCGAATCCTCACATTGCTCCATTGTTGAGACTGAAGGATATTGTGAGGGCGTATGGGGGTAGCTTTGCTGCCAAGGTATGAACACATTGCTTCAAACTACATTTTCTGCTATCTTGTTTGTTATTATGTCTGTCATTGAACATCAACAGCCTTTTCAAGATGCTCGCTTTTCCTTTTTCATCATTGGATTAGCATTGTTGTTAATTTACTTTGGAAGTGCTTATGTTTTATTCCTGTGCCCGGATGGAGTACGAGTCAAAAGTTTTCTGCCTATCTAAACTATATGGACCAGTGCGTCACATATTTTGACTCTCCAGCTCATCATTTAGGTCCTTTTTACCATTAGTTATCTTGGGGTTTTCATGTATAGCTATTCTATTTAGAGGCTGAAATTTCTTTGTAAATCACTCATGAATGTGAACTTCATATAATCCATACAGCAAACTTGACTAAAGTGGTCATGTTTGCTTTGAAGTGGTTTAGGATCTCATAACTAGTAATTCTTGTGATTCAATTGAAGGAAGAAGGATTAGGGTTTCAATTGTGGTTCGTTTATTGATGTAGGGAATGCAAGAGGATTGACTTCTTTCCGTAACAAAATGTGTTCTTTGTTGGTGTATGGTTAATAGTTCTAGATGTAGGTTTTGGGTATGACTCATTTAACAATGCAGCATATGTAGCATTAGTAATCCTCTAAGGCCGTATCCTTCACAAACATAAGGTGTACTAGCATAGAGATAATGTCTGTTATAATGCTTGATTCTTGGTCCTTGCTTGAAGTTAAGTGCTTCTGTTTCATGTTTTTTTTTTTTTTTTTTGGCTTTTATCTTTTACAGTTCTGACAAAATGAAAATAATCCATTATGGTGTTTTAACTTTGTAGCTTGCTCATCTTGCCGAGATGGAGGTAAAACATAGATGCAATCAGGTATTGGGACTTGGTTTTCCGTTAGGTGGACTTGCCAGGCTTTTTGCTCAAGAATGGGAGGGGGATGTCACTGTTGTTATGCCTGCCACACTCGCTCAGGTAGTTGTCAAATAAAGGTTTTACACCTTAGTTAGGTGGCAATTTTAACCATGATATCAATTAACCTGGGACCTGGAATTGTAAGGTGTATATATATGTTTCTTAAGCGTTAAAAGATTATTGTAGGAATGGTGAAATCAAAATTTTTCAGTCTGTACGTATCTGATTCAAATCCTTGTCTTCTGATCATATTTCTGCATATGGTATAACATGTGAATTAATTGACATGTTTCTGCAGTCCATTGTCAAAAAAAAGGAAAAAAAAAGAAAAAAGAGAACTTCTGCAGAGTGAATTAAAAGACTCTTTCCCATGGTGAGTGACTAGCTGTTTGAATTTAATTCTTGTTTATGATGCAGTACTCAAAAATTATACAAAACCCAACTCATGTGGAGCTTCAAAAGGCATCCAACCAAGGGAGAAGGTGCACATGGGAGAAGCTTTCTGCTATAAAAGCTAATTCTGGCATTGAGCTTGCTCTTGACGAGTGTGTTGCTATTCTGAACCACATGCGAAGACTCAAAAGGAGTGCTGAGAGAGCTGCTGCTGCTTCTCATGGCCAGGCAAGCTCTGCGAGTGCATTGAAATTTAGTGCTTCGAAAAGAATTCCTTCATGGAATTGCATTGCTAGAGAGAACTCAACAGGCTCACTTGAAGAAGATTTCCTTGTTGATGTTGCTTCAATGCTCCATCAAGGAGTTGGTGTGGCTGGAGGATCTTCTACTGGTAGGAATTTGAGAACTCAACGTAACCTGCATCATGATGGAAGTGATAGTGAATCTGAAAGTGTAGAGTTGAATTCCTGGACAAGATCTGGTGGGCCTTTGATGAGGACTACTTCTGCAAATAAGTTCATTGACTTTGTCCAAAGCCTGGATGTGGATTCTGAGCTCCCCAAAGGTTTCATGGCTCATCCTAACTCTCCTGGGGCTCAGATGGGAGGCAGGGATCCATATAATCAGATCTCCAGAGTGACAACCCCAGATAGAAATTCAGAAAGTGAATTTGATCAGAGAGATTTTAGCAATAGAATTTCTTCTGGTGGTTCTAGCATTACAGTCACCGAAGGAGATTTTTTGCAGCCTGAAAGGATCCATAATGGGTTTGTGCTGAATATTGTAAAGAAAGAAGACTTGGCGCTCCCCAATAGGATCAACGATGTGGAAAATTACAGTAGTGAAGTTCCTGAATGCGTTCAGCTTGATTGTCTTGAAAAGGACATGGATGCTAGCTCAGCATCAGACTATGCTGCAGATGATGAAGACGATGCCCCTGCAACAAATTCCTTGCACAGAACAGCTTCACCTTCTAGTCACATGGATGATGCCCCATTTCATGATGTTCAGGAAAAGTATGTTGTGGATGGTTAATTTTAACTTAACTTTTGCGTTACTGTGCCAAACCATGGGGTGCATTGGATTCCCAGTTTATTGTCGATGAAAGGTTTGCCCTTTCACAGGTGGAGTAGAAAATTGATTTTCGAACAAAAGACTTACGAGGGAAGTATAGAAAACAGTTCAAAGCAATCTGCCAGCATCAAGCTTTTGCTGTTTTAAACTAAGTTCTTGCACATAATATGCCACAATTGTAATCCTCATACTTACATTTCAGCAAATGATAAGGATTTTAGCCACAATTGCTCTCTCCCTCTCTCTCAAAGCATGGGCATGTCTATGAATGTGTGTGCAGTTGTCATAAACATCATGAAGGTACGAAGTTTATTTTGCTGTGAGAGCTTCTGCTCCTGCCTACCTTTGTTAACGATCAATGATATATATATGTTGCCAATTGAGTCCATTAGCTTGTTTAGTTACTTTGACACTCAAGCGAGATGAAGGTAAATGATTGTGTTGAGTCCTTTGTGGTTTTGCGTTTGCAGGAATGGATAAGATTTGAAGGACTTCATGATGATCCGTGTAGGTGCGTATATCTTCAGTTTCTTGAAGTTGCTTACGTTCGCTTTTGGCTGCCTGAGTTAAAAGAACTCAGTCCTTGTAGTTTATGGAAACTAGTTAAACAATCCTTGTCGTCTTAAAAATAATTAAAGAATCCTTCGATCATGGTTGATGCTTCCTTTCCTGAACAAAATTTTCCCATCTTACATGCGTCTCTTTCTTTTTTTAAATAGAAAATAAAACAAATTAAAAAAAGAATTTGAAATTGATAAAAGGATTAAGTTATAAAAGGTTTGAAACCACAAGGATTAATTAATTACCAAACCATGGGGAGTAAGTCATAGACAAATCCAGCTCAGGTTACACGTTTCATTCGGTCGGTCTCAGGAAATTTTCCATAAATCAACATCAATAAAAGCAACCCATGTCTGCCCGCTACGGACCCAATTTCAAAAGGGATCTATATTCTCTTGGTGAAATTTCTGGTTTCCTGGCAAAGTCCTGGGGGAGAAAATTAAGGTTTGGTATCTTGATGGGCTAACTTTTGCTTGTAGTGTTGCCTTTGTTGGAGCAGTTTCCTCGTGCTTGGTATGTCTTGTATATATATATTTTTTAATCTTGTCAAGCCGACCACATTGAAAAAAGCACGAGAAACCAAGAAGATCTCAAGTAGTTACGACGAATTGACATGGCAATATGGGCTAGGCTAGATGGCCATTTTTTTATATATATAATTCTCTGTTATTTTTCCCACACGTAAATTTTAATTTACACATGTTTATATGAGCTTCAAAATCAATACCGCCGAAATTACTACAGGGACTGAAATTACAATAGCGAAAAACATAGCTGATCATGAGTGAGTTTTCAACATTAGATTTATTGTATTTAATATTTCTGATTTTTTAAAAAAGATTGAAAAAATAGTAATGTCATCCTCCAAAATCTTGTAAGCATACAACACAAACTTAGTATTAGTGGCATCGGAAGATGCTGCAATATCCAATAAAAAGCCATTTTAATGATTAAGTTAATATATTAAACATATCTTATAGATATTAAAGATATACGACTTTCTCTGAAAATATTTATATATATTAGGGTGATGGAAATTGTGTTTGCCTAAGGGAATAAATCCCTTTATGTGGTAGAATATACAGATATATAAGAAATGTTTTAAGTATATTGTGTCAGAAGATTATAAGGTTGTGAAAAAAAACTTCATAATTATAAGAAAACCTAGCACTGACGAGATTTGTAAGAAAATTCAAATTTTATAATTCATCAATAACAATAACGGGAAATATTATGTTGTCACGTCTTATCTATTCATCTAAAACATGAAAGGAAATGACATTAAAAGTTTGCTGAATAAATTTCGATCACATTGTTCATATTATTAAAGTGTCGTAAGTTAAACATTCACAGAAAAATAAACAACACCGTAATGGATTCCGTGATGATACCAAATATTCTCCATCAATAAGGAATATGCAGTCTAAAAAGTTTATTAGTGTTGGGCACCACATTTCTACCTCAAGATGCTTTTTTTTTTAGACAAAATCTACCACGAGATTATGAGCACAATTGAAGCTTTTTTTTTTTTTTTTTTTTTTGGAGCTAGTAAGTTAAGTGTTTAGGGTAGTGACCATTTGGGAATTACTTGCTTTTGATTTTTTTTTTTTTTTGGGTTTCAGGATTTTTTTTCCTTAAAATTCATTGAAAAATGTGTTTGGCAAAATTTTAAAAGTTATTTTAAAAACTATTTATAAACCAAAAGTAAGAAGTTACAAATGTAACTTTTGAATCTTATATAAAATAAAATATTTTAACAACACATATTATCAAATATTTTTTTCTCATAATTATAACAAGACCCAAAACTACATTAAAACCCGCAATCTTCTCAAACTCTATTGTTAGAAAAAATTTCAAATACTATTATTTTTTCCTTAAAAAATGTTACTTTTAAGGACCACTAAACCATAAACCCGGGAGGAGGCAATTTATCTTGAAATGCTAAGAAAGAGCAAGTAATGTAGTGAATATAGACCATCTTTATACATATATAGTAACGTTCTAATTAAAGCGAGTTATGAAGAATTTTTTTTCAATACGAACCGATAGAAAAGGTTCATGAGTCCGCAACTCCAAAACTCATCGAGTTCAACAAATGACCCACAACTCACCAAGAGGAACTAATTCATTAAACTAGTCTAAAGTTTCCTAAAGAACACTTACTCTATTTAAGGAGGGTCGTCCTCTAAAAATAACTTTGGAATCCTTCTATCCGGAGCACTCCAACTTAGAATAAAAAGATGATGCACTCTTTCATTATCACTTAAAGATAAAATATTTTATAAAAATTCTTCAATGATGGTGACATTAATAAAATCACCACTCATCATGAATGCATTCTGTTACAAAATCAAATACAATGATAGCAGAGAACTAATATTTATAGGTTCTTCCATTAACTTGAAAGGAAAAGGACACCCATATCCTTTCCGTCATGCGAACTCGCTCTTATGGTTGCCTACATAAAGGCAAAAATCCTCACAAGAAAAAAAACATTGGTTCCAATTTACACAACCGAAGAAATTTCAAACAAGTTCTAAAAATACTCTTCACACAGAGTTCATCATGTATAACTTTTTTTTTTTTTTTTTTATATAAACTTACACACACAAACTAGTATATACTAGCACAAAAGAGCTTCTTTAAGTCAATTCGTCACTTTTTGATTACTAACTCGAACGTCGAGTGTCTCTCACCTAACTAGAGAATTTTTTTAAGGTACACATTGTAAAGGAAACTTCACATTCTACTATCGTGAAACAACACTTATTGTCATCATGAGCCACAGATTCTAAATTTGTCAAATAAGTTGATCGACGATTCATCGGCTCGTATCATTTATAGAGATCCGAGCAAAAAGCCAACCGGACTCTTTATATCTCTAAGTTCACTCTCCAAAGTATCTCCGGGTTCATGCATGACTACACGTACGAAAGTTTTTAATGAAATACTCCTTCAAACTTTGCTAGTCCCATCACCTATAAGAGCATATCCAAATATCATAGAGACATCTTGGCGACCTAAGTACAAATTAATGTTCTCGGCTCATCTCCTTTAAACACCCGTATTCCCTCCACCTCCGGATACTCTAATGCCACCATGCGTTGTAACTCATGTAAAAGAGGTTGTATCTTTTCCGCTCACTAATCGATGAGGCGTATGCATGTTAAATGAGACATAAAAAAGGCATGTTAGTGCTAAAAATAAGGAATGAGGTCACCATACATCTCTAAAATCCTAGAAAAGCCATTACACGTAAAAAGAACCAATAATCCAAGAGTCTCATAGGGAAAGGGATAAGGAAGCAAGATCCGAACATCACTATGATGCTAAGAAAACTCACAATTTTGTTAGAGGATACCAAAAAAAGCACCACCCTTATTCTTCTTATCAAAAACATTGCATGTAAACCCAAAGCTCAAGTGCTTATAGCATAAAAAAAAGCTCGAAATCTTTTTTTGCTTAGTTATAGATCACCATAAGCACAAGCTCTAAGCATCACACTTGGCTCTAGGTATCTCTAACATCAAACTCTCTAAAGAGTTCTTTTTGAGTAAATTGAATTTGAATACGTATGACAATTTTATAGATATGAGAGAACATGTGCAAAACACGAGAGGAACCTTTGAATTTGTGTTGCATGGAACACATGCCATAAATAAAGTGCTAAAAGGACATGCTAGTGTTAAAAATAAGGAACTAGGTCGCTATGCATCTTTAAAACCATAAAAAAGCCATGTACATTGCATAAAAAAGGAACCAAGTAACCCAAAAGTCTCATTGGAAAAAAAGAAGGAAGTAAGATCCGAACATCACCGTAATGTCAAGAAAACCCATAGAGTTATCCGAAGATACGGAGAAAAGCACCATCATTACTCTTTCTTATTAGAAACATCATATGTAAACCTAGAGCACAAACACTACTACATATAAAAAGCAAACCTAAAGTCTCCTCTTGTTCATACACGGATAACTACAAGCATAAGCTCCGGGCATCGCCCTTGGCTTTGCGTATCCTTAACATCAAACTCTCCTAAGAGTTTCTCTCAAGTAAAATGAATTTAAATACATATGACGGTTCCATTAACCTAAGAGAATATATGTAAAACATGAGGAGAACTCTCGAGCTTGTGTTGTATGGGAAAAATGCCATTATGTAAAGTACCTCTCATTACCTTTTGAGATAACGCTAGGAAGTGATACAACAACCTAGGTCTCGAGTCCATTTTAAGCTTTGAAGGCCTATGTTTTAACCTAATAGCACTGGTTCTCCATAAACATCCCCATCGAAAGAAGTTCTATTAATCTTTTTTATGCAAACCTCGTAAATCAAATATTCGAAACTCACGAATAAAAAGACCAACTAATATGAACCTCGCAAATCAATTACTTAAGAA